TTCTGGCTGATGATAACGATCCGTGAACTCATGTTACGGACTCGCTCTGGTGCTATCCCCGATTATGGTACAACGGCGCATATCTTGTGGCTGTCGTTTATCGTACACCAGCATCTACTCTGGAAATCGATTCCGGTTTGATACTCGCCCTGAGCAAAGGAAAACGATTTAGATACAGCTATATCCTCATATCGGGGGATTTCAGTGCACAGGGTCTGATGAACAGTTCGAAGCCTACTGCATGTATTTATGGCTTATATTCCCTTATCCACTTGGGTTTCTGACCAACAAACTTCTTGACAGCATTTGGACAGATATCATGGAAAAGCATAGTAATATGGTCAGCATTGCATCGAAAACCAAGGTACTTGGTTCCGCAAAAGTGTCGTTAATTTTCACAAGCAGGACTCGAAAATGTATGGCAATAAAAGATGCAGCATGGCACGCTTACAAGGCTAATCCTGACCCATATATTTGGGGGAACTTTCTGACCAACGTCAACTATTGTACCATACTTGTCCGTGAGGACAAAGTAACTTATCAACAGTGACAATCCAAAAATTTCAGGCAAACACACTACTATACGTGCATGTCAACAGCCTACGAAGTTAAAGCATGGCACCCCCCTAGTTTTCGCAATGGACCGTAGAGTAAAAAGCGCCAAGGAAGCAACCAGTGTCCTGCGGCTGCAACACGTCCCGATTTGTGAACCCGCAGACTGTCCATATCACATACCACCATCCACTTTACCGACTACAGGGTTTACACACGTAATCTTTGACCCATCGTGTCCTAAGGACGTTGCGCTCGTTGCGTGATCATAGCTCTCCGGAAGCCGACAAAATTCATCCGAAAGCACTAAAGACTACGGCCACTAGGCTGGCTCAAGCCATATCGCAGTTATCCCCATGAGAAACAAGTCCCTAGTGCATGGAAGGTGTCAGTCGTTCAGACACTTCAAACTATCGCCTAGTGACTCTCCTCTCTGTGCTCTCTTAGGTGATGGAAATGGCCTTCGCTGAGGATTTAGTGGACTACCTAGAAAAATGCAACCTCTTGGCTCCGGAGCAGCGTGGCTTCCGTCAACACTGGTCATGCATCACCAACCTACTGATGACATGCGGTAGGTGGACAGAAGCTGGCGATGGTAAGGCCGAAATCTACATCATATGTCTGGATTTTTCCAAAGACTTCGACCGCCTGAATCATCGCAAGTTACTTCAAAGAATAGAGCCATGGAATAGGTGATCCTGTTCTTGGATGGATTGCCAACTTTCTTCACCAACGGAAGCTTTAAGTGCGTGTTAGAAGAACTTTTTTATTACGTTAATACCTCGAGCCAGCGCATCGATGTCGCGCAACCAACACTAGTCTCATGAGAGCTAAGGATACCGCGATGTCTAGAGGAAGTATGCAGGCGCAAAACGGTTAACATCGAATCACAAGCTAGACACCCGAACCACTCGGCCACTGGTCAGTTTGTATTGGAAAAGACATACAAGCACATATACACGAAGGTGCAAACTAGAGAAACTCCAATAGAAGAGTTAAGAAAACAGAGCTGGGGAAACAAGAGGGTCAGAGGCACGAGTGCGTTACGGGGACAGACTTATGAATCAGTAGATTATTGCAGAAAAAAGGCGCCCCAAGGTATGCACTAACCTCAACCATTGACAATGGACAATGAGACGAAACTTCATACCACTAGAATGTGGTATGTCATTTATTCGTTCATTCTTCACATTAGATGGGGGTGAGAAAAACCCCAGCTATTATGTAAGCATTATGATTACAAATACATCATTTATCGAGCTTCGCTAATCTGCGTGGTATCTATAAAGTACGTGGATTGTGTCAGAACGAGAGATGTTGCTTAACGTATCAAATAATTGAACAAAGTAAACCGGTCGTTAGGAAACTAAAGCAGAATGGATGACTAGAGTGATAGTAAAGGTATTTTGCATGAGCAGGCTTAAATGCAGAGGTTAACTAGCTGACGCTCGTTTTCAAGGACAGCCGTCCATTTATCCTTCTGAACAGTTGTGAAACCTGGCCCATCAAGTTGACAGACATAAAGAAGCTGGTTACATGCGATCATCGATGCCTTCGCAGCTTGGCTCACGTCTGGTGGGAACGCGGTGTGAGCAGAGGGTGTTCGGCATCGCTTATTTGGTGCAGGAAGGGTGAGTGGACCGCTCAACATCGTTATTTCATGCACCAAGCCCCGATGGCTAGGCCACATGTTGCGCATGCCAGCACACCGACTCCCGCGACGGGCATTTGTGCGGCGGGGGTGTGGATCGAAGAAGAGGAGAGACCAAACGATGACTTGATCAAGATTGAAGTCCCTCACTTCGAAGTTGGCGTCGATTGGTGTCTCCCGATTGCCGGGCTGAGGTCCCAAGCTAAGGACGCTGAACATGTTTGGTTGAATACACTCTGCGACATGGCAAAGAGCCGGTTCCAACGGCGTTTGTGTTGTGAGCTTCTTTGTCGCACTCCCGCTTATCTTCCAGCTCTAACCACGTTTTCACACATGATGAGCAACACGAAATGGAGCATCACATTCTTTGGTTTTTATAGTGTATTCTGCAATGTTCTGTATCATGGTTTTTTAGATACTGTATCTTTTTGCTATGCGGCACATTGGCTGAAGTGATTTTCTCACCTCCAGTAGACGTGTGATCATAACGATAGTTAACTAGTTAGAATAACTTTTGTTGCTGGCAGTCACCATCATCATTATATACGTTAGCTGCAGGTGGAAAACACTTCAGCTATTATGCCGCAATGCAAAAAAGAAAAAAACATGCAACAGAGGCACACCGGCTGAGTCATCAGTACGGGATGGATATCTCTCCGGAGAGCTAACAGCCGGCTATTGTGCAGACAAAACAGTTATATGAGGTCTAATAATTGAGATCGTGGTTGGACGGAAGGACAAAGAAGCTCACAACATAAACGCCACTAAGGTCGCCTCCTAGCCAGCCAGAAGTGTTCATGGTCCTTCGATCCCCAACTAGAGCCGAGGCACTCAAACCGAGGGCAACTTCGAAGTAAGGGTCTTCATTCCTCTCGAGCAAGTTATCGCACAGCCACCTCTCTTCTTCCATCCCACCCTCAGTGCGCAAACAATGCACGTCGCGGGAGTCGGTGGGCTAGTATGCGCAACACGTGTCCCAGCCATCGGAGCCTGGTGCGTGATATAACGGTGCTGGGAGGTTCGCTTCTTCCTGCTCCACAAACAAAGCGTCGAACACGCTCATTCCTCACACGGCGTTCGCACCACATGAGCCAAAATGCGAAGCCACTGGTGGTCGAACGTAATTAGCCTCTTTATGTCGGCTGATATAAGGAGCCAGGTTCCACAACCGTACAGTAGAGTCGAACGTACCACTGCATTATACACTCTACTCTTCAGGGAGAGAGTGATGTCGCGTCGGCGCCATAGGTGGCGAAGGTTAGCAAAAGTGCCTCATGCTTTTGCTACACGGTTTGTGACCTCGTCCTTAATTCCAACGGCGCTGGTACAACTACCTAGGTAGTTGAACTTATGAACGACTTCTAGCTGATCGCCATCAAGGGTCAGCGCAGGAGGCGGTCCCTGCCAATCTTGGAGGAAAGCTTTGCACTTTGAGGGTGCAAAGCATAGCCCGAAACGGGTGACAGCCAGTGCTAATCTGTCCAGTGCCGCTTGGCACGTTTGGGAGCTGTCACAGATGAGGGCAATATCGTCAGCATACTCCAAGTCAAGAAGTCGTTCACCTGGGAGCAACTCCACACCTTCTAAGTCGTGTCCTGTGAACGCGATCTCCATGACTTCGTCAATAGCGAAGTTGAAGAGGAAAGGTGACAGCGGGCATCCTTGTCTTACACCGCTGGAGATATTGAAGGGCGGCGACAGCTTGCCGTAAGCCCTCACTCTGCCCGAGCTACGCGCGTAAAGCGCTCGCATAATATTTACATACTTCTCGGGCACACCTTTCCTTAGCAGACAGTCCCAAAGGGCACGTCGATCCACCGAATCGAAGGCACCTTTGATGTCGAGGAACACGACAACGGTGGGCCGCCAATATATGTGACGGTGCTCCAACAACTGACGTAATGTGAATATGTGGTCGATGCATCCCGACCACGACGAAACCCGGCTTGCTCCTCACGAATCTGGCTTTCACGAGCGCCAGTCAGTCTGTGAAGGATTACAGAGGCAAGTAATTTGGAGGCGATGGGGATCAGACTAATTCCTCTATGGTTGCCGCATTCCGAACGCGAGCCTCCTTTGAAGATCGGAACAATAACGGAGCGGCTCCAGTCGGTTGGGACAGTTTCCTGCTCCCACAGTTTCACTAGTAATTCGTGTAAATCATCAACAAGAGCAGAGCCCCCGAATTTGAAGAGGGCTGGATGAAGATCATCTGGTCCCGCGGCTTTATTCAACTTCAACAGTCCGATCTCACGTTCGACTTCTGAGTGAGAAGGCGGATCCAAAAGGACAGCCCAGGGAGCAAGACGATCACTGGCCGGTGAGGAATCTAACAATTCCGGTCGATTAAATTGCTTTCCAAAATGCTCAGCCCAACGCTCCAAGCGTTTTGACAAGTTGTGGATAGGCTGTCCACTCTCGTCATAAATAGTTTTACTAACACCAAGTTTCCTGCTTCCCGCTACCCGCTACCCGTATCAGACGGAATAACTTACCATGGTGACCAAGCGCAGCGGCCATTCCCAGCTCTGACGCACGGTGAGACCACCAGGATTCGCGTATTGCTGATAGTAGCTTTCAGAGCTCGAATTCAGGTAGAAATGTGATTAAATCTACGAGGGACACTCCGGAGTGCGTAAAGTGAATTTTCAGCATTACTTATGAACCACTTGAAACACTTAGAACATTAATTGTACGACAGTGACTTCCTATCGGATTATTTAACATAAGAAACAATTCCAGGTTATTGACATATATACCTCCTACCCGCCAATAATGGTAGAGAGCAATCACCAACCTCGCAGGAAAGTGAGCGTCTCTGTTGTGTAACCGTCGATTGGCCGAACAGCAGTAGTAGCCAATTCGCCAGTATCTCGTGATATTTATTTGACGATGGAGTATTGTGCCTCGCAGAATTCCGCACTGGTTCGGCTGAAACTGCACGGGTTCGTGGATTTACCGGTAGCCAGCTGTAGGAAAAAAATGCAAAATCAATTCAGCACATTGCGTGACAAATTTTCCACTTCGTCGGAAGTAGATACATAGTTTTTCTAGCCCCCTTGAAGCTTGTTGAGTCAACGACTAGAAAGGAAAGCACCTTTGCATTGAAATGATTCTAAAACACAGACTCAGTGAAAGTGGGAAAACGACTTAATATAATGAAGCCAGGAAAAAGAACATTTTAAGCTGCAATTTGGCATCTAGAACAAACCGTGACGTGCAAGTTCTAGGTCGCGAGTGCGCGGGCTGTGAACAAGGTGACAAACAAGGAGTCTGAAGAATTGAGGTTCATAAAAGCCTAGGATGCAAGTGGACGCAAAGCATCGACAGCACATCGAAGCCTGGCGTCGACACTATGCCGCCACGCAACCACCAAGGGTCGCATGCGGGATGGGATATTGCGAAGTCGCCCGTAGCTATGTAGGTAAGACAAAGTTTCCCGATTCAGAAAACCGGTAGCTTAATGTCTAGGGATTACGGATGTAGCACATGACGGTACGTGCACAATGAGAACCCAAAAGAAGCCAACAGGAAAACATGCAGCAAAATAGATGAGGCGCCATTTACCTCTAGCCAATGTGTAGAATGATACCTTGAGAATCACCTTGCGCTCAACACGGACAGCCTTTGGGAAAATGTGTCCATTACATGCGGTAAGGCTACGATGGAGAATACCTTTTAAGAATAACGGAAATGCGTCTGGCACTTGCCTCACTGTGATGGACATGGCCACCTACATCAATTATTCAGCAGCAGTCCACTGGTCACACCTTAAAAAAGCATCAGCAGTATCTCGGTAAGCCTTATCGACGCTTCGTTGTCACGCAGCCACCACCAGTCGCGTGTAGGCTGACACTGCAGGGGAAGCCCAGTCCTCTACGCAGGCTCGAACTCGCAACCTCCGGGTTGCGAGAAAGATACCTTGTTCTTTGGGCGACGGGCCGGCACTGGTCACTCCAGGAGAACAGTCAGGTTCAAATTGACTATGTCGTCATTAACCGCAAATGGAAATATCGATTTAAATATAGGCATAAACATACAATCCGCATTTGTGACCAGGGTCTCGGTGATAGGCTATGATATCGGTCAACCATATGATTGATACGCTACAAACCAGGAATTGTGGCCCAAACTGCTGGACTGTATTCAGGCTTATCCACCGCGTCTTGTGCGGAACAGAAGAAACGGAAAGTTTTGGGAGAGTACCAGGTTACTGCAGTCTAAGGGGTAGACTTAACCAGAATATTTACTGAGTTTGATAATGCACCCAATGTAGTACCGTATGATACGGGAGAAATTTGATCCCCACTTACCGCGTAAGGGTGGACGTCCTCGCGGTATACTCGGCCCGCGCGCAACTGGTGGTGGTCGCGCGGCAGCGAAACGCCGTTACGGCGTACAGCTGGCACATTGTTATTATTATTATTACCGTACGGACGGGAATGATCGGCCAGCACATGGCTTGGTTATTTGGTACCGCAGTTACCCTGCTTCCCCAGGTTATTCAATAAAATTGCACAAACGGCGAGCTGACCGGAAACTCACTCATCACACTAAGTTATCAAGCGCCAGAGCTCGACTCCAGGACATATGGTCATGAAATCGAAGATTAAGTAGTGTCGGCTAAAGCCACTAGCATAAGCAATACGGTGGTACAACGGTACTGACGCTCCGCTTCCAAGTGACCACTGTCAGCCGCGTGTGGGCTATCGGTATTGTGAGGTCACCTGCACATACGCAAGCTCGATCAGGAGATTTTGGAATCGTAAGCTAATATATGTACGGTATGGTACTGCGTATAGTACTGCATGGTCACCACATCAGCGTTTGTCCGCGCAAAGCACACAACACCGGGTGCCAGAACGTGTGCGCGCCAGTCAACCGGCACACGAGTGTGCGACCCGAGGGACGCTTTGTAATGGTCGCGATGGAACTCGCACGCTACCGGATCGACATTGTTGCACACAGCAACGAGACTGAACCTTAGCGTGGTGCCATGGTTTTGCGTACCCCAGTGACCTAGTGGACTATACTGGGTGGCACTTTCCAAATGTCTTCAGAGCCAATCATTCCAGATACGTCAATGGTCAGGGGCCGACAAACTCAGACTCACAACCCAATCCCCTTCTGAGGTTACAGAGAGGTCGATGGCCATCTTGCTTAAAAACCTAGCCAAGGGAAACAACAGGTTTACGGGTTATAAGCTCACACCCGGGACGGAGCTGTACGCTATCGGGCGCGTCCCAGGTTGTGGTTTGATGAATGCCTTTTTGTGGAGATAACTGTGAATAAGTCTCATTCACTTTGCAGGCGAGACGAACAGAGTCGCGCACAATCAGCGACAGAGTGTCAGAGCGTGGTGAGTCCTGGGCTAGTCACCTGATTCTCCCTCAAATATCACAAGTGCTTCTCGGCGCAGTGTCATAGCCAAGGTGACCGGCTATTTGGTAACTGACCACTCACTGCTGTAACCAGAGATGAGTACTGTTATGATTCGCTACCCTACTTATCTTGAGTGGTTGGACTTCGCTCAACGCTGATTGCCCGATTAGTGTAATTCTTAGTGAGTGCCTTTTTTCGTTCTGGACAGTTGTACGTTCTACGCGCCCTCTACATTATACGTTGTTACATCTACTTTCTTCTGATACAACAGTTGGCGTCGCGTGTACAATCATGAATCTCTCAATCCAACCTCAACCGACATTTTGGACTGACTGTATAAAACAGGCCTGCGTCAGATGCCTGCCTTCTCTGGAAAACTTCCTTCCAGAAATATTGGGAGTTAAGTATCGATCTGAAGTCTCCAATCAGCGAGGAAAATAAGTTAAAGCTGCTTCATTACTTGCTCGAAGTTGAAGAGCAACGGCAATTTGATGACCTAAACCTCCAAATATACAAATCAGTCGATGATGCATTCAAAGCTCACGATCGCATTTAGGGCTCCCAAATGAACCTGTTCACAGCAAGGTACGTCTTCTCCCGAGTGCTACAGGAGCAGGTGAATCTCTGAATGATTGTATTATTATCATTATTATTTTATTATTATTTTATCTTGCCCTGCAGCCGTGCAAGTACTTTTCTATTCCGCAGAAAAAGATGCGTGCTGACACAACAGTTGATCCCAGGTAATAGGTGGTTACAAGGGATGATTGCCGCGACACATTTTCGGGACACTGGTCAGGCATGCGGTAGACCACACGGGAAGATGACCCACTCAGTCCGCAATTCACGACATAGGTTTCCGTCCAAAACAGTTGACGGAGCCAATTCATCATTGCAAGGGTTGTTATGGTGCGGATGTGATCGTACCTAAAGCCAGACAGTGAAGGCCGCTACCAGGGTGGAATCTGTTCAGACAAGAGATGTGAATCACCTAGGTGACAGACAGGCGAAGTAAGAGCATGTGACCTATAAAATTAACCGTGATCTGTTCCTAATACACTTGGTCTAGCAAGCTGGGTGTTCTGGTTTGTCCCCGGCTGGGTTGGCAGTGGCAGAGAGCAGAGGCGATGGCAACGTTACAACGTATGGAGTTGCTGACAACCGCATACGTGAAATGCCGCTACAGGAAGACGCCCGAACTCTGAGCTGGGATCGAACCTGCGAGTGGCCAGAACGAAGATGAAGGTTGCTCTGCAGGCGGAAGAGTTTTGTGTAACTAAACTGACCGATGTGACAAAAATGCAATCTACTCATCCCATACCAGGAGTAGACCATCCTGCTACCGCTGTGGTAGTATCTCCCACAAGGCTAACTTCTCTTCTTGTCCAGCCCGCAGTCTCACATGTAAAGACTGTGGAAAATTGGACACTGCTCGCTGTTGCCGATCCCAACGCATCGCACTCGTTGAACAGGATTCCGTTCCCGAGCACGACGTAGCCGATTCAGCCGAGCAACATGGTTACTCAGTCACTGTTGATGTCAGCAACTTAGGAAATGTGATATCTGCCGTTGAACCGAAACCCTTCTGCAGATATTCGAACTGTCTTATTCCCTACGAACAAAGGTATTGTTCCACTAGAGGTCGAATTGGATTCCGCTTCTCCTGTTACTACGGTGCCCTCTAGTTTCTACAAACGTTACTTATCCGAATACCCTTTATAGCCCACTGCTCATACGTTCTGAAGTTACAGAGGCAATAATTTAACTATTCCTGGTTTTTCTCGTCGTACCTCTCCGGATTGGACTGGTATCTGTGGATATCGTGGTATACGTTTCATCAGATAACAAGGGGCCTCTGTTTGGGAGGAACGCAATGGTTGCGTTAAAAGTAGTGTCATCTTTTGATCGAATGATTGTCTTCGCCATTGTAGTGACATACTGGCAACAGCACTATCCAAAGCTTTTCAATCTTCTATTTGAGGGATATCATGTGGTGTTTATGGTATCCAGTTGAAACTTGTTTCCAATAGTCAACCTAGACCGATTCCATTTGCGAAGCGTCAATCTGTCTCAGCAGCCTTGCAGAAAATGCTAGCGAACGATATAATCGAGCGGGTCCATCCAATGGTGAGTGTTTTGAAAAAAAATGACGGCACTCATGATAGGTAACGAGCTACAACATCTATTATTATTATTATTATTTATTACAAGGTCTAAACAGATGATGAGCTAACAGTTCGCCTTTCCGGTGCAACAGTTTCACTAAAACTCAATTTAAGTAGTGCGTTTTTCCACATGCCTTTATCTGATGACTCAAACTCCTTACTATTTTTCTAGCCGCTGATGGATGGTTGCAGTACAAAGTTTTACCCATAGGTCTGAGCTCAGCACCTGCTGCCTAGTAGAAGTTCATGACTCAAGCTCTGATAGGTGTTGATGGACAGGTTGTCTACTTTGACGATTTTTGTGTCTTCGGTCGCTCGCCAGAAGAGCATGATGAGCGCTTACATCGAGTCAGTGAACTCGATCTCCGCTTGAACACCAAAAAGTGCATAGTTAACGCTCCTGAGATTCAATTTCTAGGGCA